TCTGATTAAACAAAATTACCCCTTTATTTTGAGGGATACCCCTGTTCAGCCGCTTGCCGTTTAATTAAACAGCTTTGCTGTTGTCAGGACTGAGGACAGCCGCAGTGTTTGTGCAGCGGTATTTGATACACCTGTAGGTATACGTGATCAGTGACCAGCACACCTTCTTATCCACTTGCTGGTAACCCTTGGAAGCCACAGAGCAATTGAGGATAGCAAGCGCTGAAGAACCGTTCGGTGATTGAACTAAACCGACTCGTGGGGTAGCAGGAGGTGGATGCGGTAAGGAAATAAGGGTTAATACTGGAAGGACCAATTTGAACAGTTTGTATTGGTTACTTCTAGATTACCTTCACCCATTAGGGTTAAACATCTGGTGCCCGTGTGGGTAATTCTTTACGCAGCAGTCAGAAATACGTGCGGTTAAGTTGTACAAAGAATGAGAAAGAGAATAAGGCTGAAAATATTCTAACATCTTATTTTGTTCTCTGTAGAAATAGCTTGTACTTGGTTATCCTATACCAAAAGTATAATTATGACAATAATGTAGTTTTCCTGGCCAGGCACCTGCTTGAGTTTGAGTTGAAAACGATTTGTATTGGAAATGATCTAGAAGGTAGGGTGGGAAGGGGCCTAGAGAGACAGTTTGTCTACTCCTCTTGCCCCCAGTGGTGGGATCAGTACCGAAGTCTGTAGCTATATACAAATCCTCTGTCTGTCTGTGAAGCAAAGTTTATGGAGGAAACTAATGGGAGGTAGGGCCTCAGGAAACTTCAGAGACTCTTGTTTCCATTAAGTGTGTAGTTAACCTCTGAAACTGTTTGATGAGGATGTCCAGGATACTAAGCATTGTATATGAATACAGAAAGCAACTTAAGAAACTCCAAAGAAAATTCCACTGAGGATTGTTAAAAACAAGACACCAGCATGTCTTTGAACTGCAGATTGCGGAATACTGGGCAAGTGTCCTGGGAAAGTTCTCACTACTTGTTTGTCCTCTCCTTGTGCGTCTGATACCGGCTGCTCTTGAGGACAGGGTAATAAGTTGAGGTACCCTTGTTCTGACTTGCTATAACCATTTCTTACATCAAACACTCATCAGTCTGTTGTTGGGAACTTTTTTAATGATGCCTATCCTAAAAATCCCTTTCTGGACTTTAGTTCATTATTTCTTGTCTACCTTACTGGGGGAAATAGTTTAATTTATTGTTTTTTTTTTGCATTTGAAAGTGTCTCGTACTGAGAGAGGAAATGTGAGAGAAACTTTGTAATTCCACTTCCCTTAGCTTTCACTGAACAACAGGTTTAGTTTCCTATTCTTCTACAAAACAAATGCAGAGATTTAGCACAAGTTATAAAAGAAAAAAGATTATCTAGCTTAGTTACTGTCAGTCACTCCTGATGTGATTGAATAGCTGCTCTCTAAAGAGATCAGAGTACCACACGTGCTATTTAATTTGATTGGGTCAGGTTCCTTATACACACCACCCACCGTGATTTATATATACTGATATCGGGAAGAGATGATACCGCTTTGGTGGCAGTCTTTCAGAACTACATGCTTGGAATGGAGTAGCTTCTTCTGCAGCTGTTAACTAAGCTAGAGTTGAAGAACCTGTTAGTGTTCAATAATTTTTGCCTCAAAACAACCAGATCTCAATTCTGTTCCCTGTTACGTGCATCAGACGTTTGCCGTGTGTCTATACATTTAGAGCTGTCTTTTATTTCCGTAGTATCCGGTATAAGCAAAACATAATGCATAGATTTGGTCAAATACATACAGAAATGAGATTTTTCTGGCTGGGGGAGATGCAGTTTATAGTTCCCTGTCAAGAGACTTCATTTTGAGAAAAGGTTTCCTCTGAAGAAATACATTGTGAAATCAAGTATAAAAAGTAATATAAAATCACTTCTGCACATTTGCTGACACCTTGTGATACTCTGATGTGTTTTACAAAATGTGGTGGTTTTACATAAACCTGATACTGGTTCATCTAATTACTTTGTAGGCCGACTGAAATCTGAGATTATGTAAATATTGTTTAAGCAAATAAATTAAAACACATTTTTTGTAAAACCACACACTAGAAAGCGAAAACTGACCCGTTGAACAAAACCTAGTTCTTCAGAAACTGAGGATGGGTCTGAGCATTGACAGTCTGTATGACTGCTACGTAGTAGGTGTTTTCTGTTGTACAACCAGTGACCAGAGGACTGCTGTTGGTACCTCATCTGTCTAATGGGTTCAGTAGCCCTGGCTGCGCCAGTGCTCGGAGCAGTGGACAAAGGGCAGCTGTAGTCCTGTGTGCTGATGTGGTTATACATCTCCTAGGGAAGTTGTATCACACAGATAACGTTTTAGTACAAATCGGTTTGTATGCTGCATGGTGTTGGGAAAGGAGATGATCGAAAGCCTTCCAGCTTAGGGCAGGGAAGCAGCATGAAAATGGTGCAACTGCATGTAAACCCCATCATTGGGTGTCATCTTCTATCCCTGTAACTATGTCATGTTGGAAAAGGGACAGTGATTTCTTGAATTAAAGGCTTCTGTCTCCAATTCCCCTTTCCTCCCATTCCAAAAGTACAGGAAGCTTGGTTCCTTCATTAGTGGTACGCGTTGTTGTTACACCTCTACAACTCCAGTGAAGCAAAATTAACAACATGAGTAAACAGGTCGTAGTTATCTCTCTTCTTGGAAAAAGTAGGCCAAAGAAATTGAAATAATCTGAAAATACCTTTCTTTTTTTCTTTTTTCCCCTAAGGCAAATTTTACATAAGCTGATTTTCTATAAATTTACAGTCTCCCTAGAAAATCAGGATTTGCCAAACTGTTTTAAAGCTAGGGTGCACAGGAAGGAGTCAGGAGGGGAAGGTTAATACCAAGGAGTTATGTCCAGAAGTATAAAGGCTTTCCCTTCTCCCCTGTCTGGGTGGAAGAGTCTATTATGTCAGGAATACTGTTAGCCATTATTATTTAAAAAACAACGCGGCTGCTGTCTGCGGTAAGGCTTTATGAAATACATAAGAAGTGGATGCAAACCTCCGTGGCTTCCTCTAGGAAGTAGAGGAGCATGCTTTCTTGTTTGCCTGAAATGCCAGAAGCATTTAGCTGTGCTTTGCAGTTCTTGCCTGTACCACCCATGAAATAGTACTCTTATCCCAGAAGAGGTACCCGATACAATAGATGCTAATTTGCATAAGAGGCTGTTTTCTAATTATGAACAGTTTGTGTGTCCAGGGACTTTTGATTAGTGGCGAATTGAAACTAGGGAAGAATATGAATAGCTTGAGGGAAGGAGGACAAAAATGAGAAAATTACAATAGAAATTGACAGGAATAAGATGAAAGCAATCTTTTTTAAAGTATTCTCTTTAAAGCATAGCATAGAGAAAGCAATTTTGGGCCAAGTAATAAGGAATCATACGTTCATTAACAAGAATTACAAATAATTAGTTACTATTAAGACAAGTAAGACGGAAGATGAGTTGAATTCTTTCCTGAGGAGTGACTAGGAGAGAAGAATAGGGAATATACAGTGATACTTCTGCTTTCCTTATTGCTTTCTAAGGAAATCACCAGAGCCTATGGAATACGTGTACATCTAAAGTTTTGATTATTTTTCTTTTAATTCTGTGTATGTCAATGTAACTTCACAGAAAGCATAACTATTAAAAAAATAAAGGGAAGGGGCAAACCAGGACTAGCATTGCATGTGGTATGTATAAGCTGTAGAGAAAACAAAGCAACAACAGGCTCCTCAGCACCAAATTCTGTCTTGGAGCTGTTTTAAAGTCTTTTCCAGCAGAGGTATTGGTTACTTTTCTGAGGTGCGTACTTTGGGGGACATATCTTTATCTGTGTCAGGTTCTAAAAGCATAGAGGGTCAGTTCTTTCCATCTCATGTGACTTTGTTATTCAAAGATCACTTTACCTCCTATGTCAAACCCTATGAAATTCATAGGAGCTGTCCTGCAGCGTGGGTATGTGCTATTACAGAGCTTTAAAGCAGGCTGTTGCAGTCGTTATGCCAAATGGAAATTTTAGGTGGGGTTGTTAGATTTTTGTATATTGAAGCCTGAGACAGTCATGCACAGGCAAATTGATCATGAATAGCTTTACATATGTGCAGCAAATTGGATGCATTGGACCAGTCCATCCTGGGCTGCCAGATGTCCAGACTGCCAGCTGGGCTCTGTGAAAGTACACGAAAAGCTCTATTTAATTTCATGTTTGCGTAGGACTTGACCACGTAGTACAGAACACCTAAATGACCCTTTGCTGTCAGGTTTGGCTCCTCTCAGAGCCTTCTCTGAATCGCTTGGACTTAGCAGCTCTGCTGAGAACTGCCCGCTCATCGGGAGGCCGCACAAGTTGCCGTTCTGCCACACATAAAGAGCTGAGCTGGCTTGCAGAAGAGGCTGAATGCCAGAGCTGGCACAGGGCAAGTGAAGGGAATGGAGGAAAGAATGCCAGCAGGAGTGGATCCCACAGATTCCTTTCATACTTTGTTATGGGGTGCCCTTTAGGCGAAGGCAAAACCTGCTGATTTCTTGTTTTTTCCCCTGTAAGACTGCATGTGTTGGTTAGTGTTAGGTTTTGCTGGATGTTCCCAACACATGATACTGCATTTCTTTCTGTCAGAAAAAAAATCTTCTGAATTAATTGTGATGTGTGAAAATGTTCCACTTTTAGAATGTGTTTATCTGTTTATGGGCATTAAACAATTGGAAGAAAATGATTTCATGAGTAATACTGTCTTTTCTAACTTAAAAAAATAATGTGTTAAATGCTGTTATGGATATGCATGGGTTGTTATACGGTTCATTTTATTTAGAGCTCACTGTACCAAGAATATAAAATAAATGTATCTTTTTCTTTTTGTTAGACATTAAGGCTAATCTGTACCACTACAGCAGTGCAGAGGAAAAATGTGAGAGCCTCAGGACCTGAAAAGTACACGGAGGCATTTATTAAAAAACAGATTGAAGAGTTCAACCTAGGAAAGAGACATTTAGCCAACATGATGGGAGAAGATCCAGAAACTTTTACCCAAGAGGATATTGATGTAAGTACAGTTGCTCTGTTGGAGAAGTAATTTACTGTAGAGTTTCACATATTGAAAGCACTTTACTTCAGCATGAGCCCCTCAGCTCTCTGTGAATTTTAATCAAACTGTCAGAATAAGAAAGAATGCTACTATACATTGCAAACATTGCAACTGTGACTGTGAATAGAGATTCTACTCCTGCTACGATGTGAGGTCAGGCATCACAGTATAGAGCTGTATACCATATCTTGCTAAAGCACAGTAGGTTCCTTTAAAAGTACTAATGGATAATGCCCTTGATCTGAGGTTCTAAGAGGCACTGTAAAGGTTTATGTAGCACTTGAAACATTTACCCACAATTTGACCTGCTGTGTGTATTTAGGTCAGGTTTTCTTGTATGATACTGTGGTTGCTGGTAATGCAAATTAAATTTTGTAGGATGTTTTACAACTAACACTGGGGTTTAGCTTAGGGATATTAATTTACGCTCATAGTGCTAGCTCCAAACATACTATTTTATTGCCATTCCCTCTGACAGATGGGTGGCCTCCTCTTTCTCTCTGTCATTTAGGCTCATGTATGGATATGCTCCCTTTCACACAGCAAAATGTTTTGTTGCATGGGTGTTTTTTTTTTAATGTCCCACCTGGTCTTCACTTCTGTCACTTCTGTCTTGTTTTATCACACATCAGAGAGAGGGATGAGAAATGTCATTTGGTGACATTCACTCTTAGGTGAAGCTGTGTGAAGTCTCACAGCTGAAGCTTTCTCTGTGCAGCAGCACTGTTACTATAGCCATGGCTGTATCAGCAAGGCCCTTAGGGTCGATGTAGTATTGTGGTGTGTGCCAAAAGAGAGGTATGCGTGGTTTAGTTTTTTTCAGGGCGGGGAGATTTTATCGTCTCTCAGTGGCAGAATTCTGTCAGCGTAGCCCTGTCCGCGTAAGAGGTCTTGACAGTGTGCTTGTGCCAAGAAAGAGCTACATCTGTAGGTGGTGATACAGGCTGATTTCAAACACATTTGACAGGCTTCAAAACTAAGTTCTGAAAATAGGCAGCAAAGTAGAGAAGAGACACATAGTTAATGGCCTGCTGAGAAAAAGGCTGAAATGAGACTTGAGTTGTATCAGGTATCAGAAAATCCATAAGGGAAGCTTGGCTTCAAGTCATAGATCCATAGGAAATCAAGCTTTGAGTACAGAGCTGTGCACTGATACTGCGACTGCTTTAATTCAGAATCATGGGTAGCACTTTGCTCTTCTACAGAGAAGTGCCAGTGCAGAGATCCTTCCAGACTCAGTGTAGAGTGGATGCGGTCCTGTCAACGGTGAAAGTACTCATCAAGGCATCTGGGTCAGCAGTAAAAGCAGCCTGTTTCTTTACACTGGCTTTCTTATTTTTATGTGCAGACTATACAGAATTACCTTTTCCTATATTTTTCAGATTTTTTTTCTCTCCTTTCATTACCTTTATCTTTTTGAGTTACTTTCTTGTATTCATGCACAGGCCTGCCACCAGAGCACCTCCCACGTTGGTGCAGTGCAGTGATGATGCTGATAGTTCTGTTTGTTTGCCCGAAAGGTTAATGGTAGGAGAACGCATTAATCTGCAGTCTGGCTTCGTTCCTTTGTAGAGGGTCTATGGGGAAGGCTTGCAGACAGTAAGACCGCAGGAAATGAGAAATGACCATATCTGAGCAGTGTTTTCTTCTGTGTGAATCCACAGCACTGTGACTGTTCACACAAAATTAACTGAGTGTCATCATTAGTAAAAGCAGATTCATTCTGGAAGATTGGAAGATTCATTCTTTTATGAACGCAGCACAGGTGACGAGTATGGGACTGCTTTGCAGGCTGTGTTTCTGACAAGGTGGGGAAGTGGAGCTGGAAGAGGAGCGTTTGGTTTGGTGATACCAACTGTTTGTGGCACGTGTTTGATTTCTTCATATTCCATCAGGTGTTGGAAAATAGTATGTGTAATAGTGTCTGCTGTGCATAATTACATTTCTGTTACAAAAATGTAAAAGCTGCTTAAGCACTGGCAGGAGAATTATCAAGCTTTACATTTCGAACAGTAATAATTCTTTCTGATGAGTGCTTATATACCTCCGTGTCTTCTGCTGTTAATCAGTCTGTGCAGTGTGTTTCAAAAGTAGACATCCCAGGATTCTGTCCTTCACTGGAGTTTTAGGTATAGTTTAATAAAAGCTAAGCCTTGTGAAGTTTTAAACAGGAAAATAAGTTGACTTACTTGCTAATCCTTCTGGATGTTGTGGAAGCAGAATTGCCTCTTACTGATGCTTTTATTTGGGAATGAAAAGTTAAGCTGTGCATTACAACTGTATTTCTGGAGGAGAAAAAAAAAATCCAGCAAATTGATATATAACTCTGCAGAAGTCTACCAATTGCTTTTTAATTGGTATTATAGACCTCACTCTGAAGCTAGGATGTTTTATTCTCCTACGTGTGAATATGTGCTATGAAGTTTCTCTAATTGATTTGCTTTGCCCATTCCATTTGATGTATCATTTTTCACAATATTTCATAATTTGTGCTCATTTCTAATGAACAGAGTCGTTAGGACAGGCATGTCTAAGTACAACTGACAGCTAACATTAGGTGCCAGATGCAGTTTATAAAGCCATGTAGAACTGCAGAGAACAGTTTAAATAAATTAGCACCTGTACATTAGTCTCACTTGCTGGTAATTTATAAGCGAATCAGTAGAGATGACATTTAGGTAAGTCATTGATCAAGTTAACAGCTGCATACCCGCTGCCCAGCTGGGATACCTAATTAATAGAGATTGCAGTCCTGACCTAGTGCTTTTCCCTGTTTGAGTCTGTAATCCTTTTATTTTGTGATTTAACTTTAACTTACGGTTGTAGTAAACAGCCCACCTTCATTTTCCACTGTCAGTTCTGCGATAGTCTAAAGTCCAGAAATCTAAGTAAGATTAATACAAGAAACGCATCTTAATCTTTGTATTTAAATGCCAGTATTTTTATTATTAATTTTTATGCAGTCGGTAAATGCTCTTGCAGATATTAGCTTGTCAGAAAGCAGTGCTCTTTCCCCATAAGAGTTAGTGAAACTCAAAAGCTAGAGATCTGTGTTCGTTTTCTCTTGTGTTCTGCCTTGTGACCTTATGCTTGTTGTCAAGCAGATGGAATAATTTGAATCTAAAATACACGTTTATCTTCACTTGCGTATAGATCGTTGCAAAAGTACCAGTTAAGTTGTTAACTATGAAAATGTTAAATGTGGAAAAACTTCATTCCATATAGGGTATAGTTTCTTTCAGTGGATGAAGGCTTCTTTAATAGAAAAATAGGTTGTATTCAGCTGCTTTTAAAAAAAGTGTCTCAGCACATCTGCTTTCTAAATAACATTCATATTTTAGCAACGCGAAGCATTGAATATTGGCATATGTGAAATGTCAGAGATGTTATTCAGAAAAAAAAAAGAGGCATTTCTGAACGTTGTTGCAAGGAGTGTGTTCCAGCATTGTCCTTACAAGAAATACTGGATTTTGTATTGTTTTTTAAGTAGTTGAAGCTGGAATGATGCTTTTAACTTTTTTTTTTTTCCCAGGGGAGCCAAACTCTGCATTAGTATTTTCTTACTTTGGCATCAAAGTCCATCAGAACTTATGACCACTGTTGGTTTTGTTTTTTTTTTTCATTTTACTCTTTTTAATACTATTCGATGTTTTGAAAAGTTGAAATGAGGGTAGAAATTGTGACTTTAACAGGTTTTTGGCTTTTCTCTGCAAGCTCTGGACAAGACATTAATTTTTGTTTTGAAAATGATTGGTTAGTATAAAATTAGCATTAAAAGACGGTGTGTTTTTCTATAATGCTTGTGTTCGGGTTTTTTAAGTGGTGGGCTTAAAACGATATGTGGCTGTGAACTTAAAATTTCTTTCTGTCCGAGCTAGAATTCAGCTTTAGATAAACAGTGACAAATGATTCGGGTGGTTTCAGTAAGTGTCAGCAGTTAGTTATGAGAAGAGGATTTTGTTTCACAAGGTAAACTTAGGTGTGTCACTATTTTTATGGGGTTTTTTGGGGTTTTTTTGTTAACCTTTTCTGTCTTGTCAAATAAAATGCTGTTTCAGAGTTAACATTGCACGTACCGTTTTTGTTTCATTCGTTCCTGGTTCTGCCTCAAATATTCTGGATTTTGGATGCTGAAAACTTTTAAAGAACACTGCTAATGTGGTTAGAAGGAAAAACAGCTGTTCCAGCAAGTATCTTAGTCTGAGAAATGCTGAAGTAAAAGGGCTAAATAATGTGTTTCAAGAGGCAGGGTTTGTGAAGGGAAGTGGCTCTCGTGTGATCAAGTTGAGGAGCAGAAGCAGCTGAAACAGCTATTGCTCAGGCATTTCATTAGAGCATTACAGCATAAAGTGTCACTTCTCACCTCAGTGTTTTGATGATTAAAGTTCCATGTACGTTTAAAAAGGAACAAGCTGGATTCTTGAGCCCTCTGCCAAAAAGGATGCTGTGGCAAGGGAACCCCAGGCTGGAGGGGTTGTGTGGTTGTGGTTTGGTTTTTTTTTTTTCCTTATTTTCTACACAATACCTTCCTCACTGGATATTACTTAGATAACTATCTTTGCACATGATTTGAGGCATGCACATTAGTATAATGTTTTGTGTTTGAGCTGTAGGTGCAACACAAGTGTGGGAAGACACTTGGGCAAGATGCATTTGCCCTGCCAAACCTCTCCTGCTTACGGTGGGTTATTTAAGGACTGAACTCAGTCTCCTTCCCCTGTCCCAGTATGACTTAGTCAACTCTGAATTGGTGTGTTGAATGCTTGATTTCTCAAGACATTAAAAAAAAAAAAAGTAACCCTTACTGACACAGCTGAACTTGCTTGATTTGGAGTTGGTCTCTGAGGTTTGGGAAAGCAAGCGAGCAAAGCTTCTTGGTTTGTAGATAGATAGGAAGGGAAGGAGGATTAGATGTCAGCACGTGCAGCATATATGATGAAAAGGGAAAATGAGTTGTGGTGTGGCAGGTATCCTGAATTCGCACAACTTGCCACATGCAGCACTGGACAGATTATTTAATGAATTGGTTTGCATGTTTGAGGGACTGCCAGATACGATTTTTTTTTTTTAAACAGGGATGAATGCAGGTTCTCATCATTCCAACTGGCTTGAGTTCAAACTTATAGCTGCAAGTGAAAGACCTTGCAGTCCTGTGGGCAGTATATAGAATCATCTGGTCCCTCAACAAGTGATATAACATGATTCCTTTTAGTTTGTTACAGGAATGTTAAGTTTACCAACACAGTTTAAGAAATGTCTGATGTAAACCATCTGGTTACTATCATGTATTCATTATGATCTGCTATTTTTAAAGGTGTGACTACTCTGCTCTTTTTTATTTTTTCCCCCTGTGTGGATCAACAGTGGAGTGTAAAACATACTTTCAAATCCTGAAAGGAAATGGCTAATATTTTCTTTTCAGTAACTCACAGCAGAAGCAGGCTGTACCCATTCCACCTTTTTCCAGTAGTTTATGTAATTATTTTTGGAAACGCCATTGTGTTACTAGGTACCAGGGTTTTTCATTGTTTTTCTGCTGAAAAATAATTACAGATGTTTCTCTTTTAGAAAATTGTGTTTTATTTCCAAAGACAATGGCAACAGTGTGATTTAATGAATAAATGGTGAAATAGCAGCCCAGAATCTCTGGAGGCTAGAGGGGGACTGATGAATGTCGTATACCTGAAATGATAGCCAAAAGAAAGTAGTTCTTGATCATAATCAGCACAACAGTTTCTTTCTCATCTAGAGTTGAAGTCAGATTAAACACTACAAGAAGCACGTGGGCCATGACCCTTAACTGAAGACCATGCACGGAATGAAAAACTGCAGTTAAATCTAAAAGGTTTCTTCGGAACATTACTACTAGCATCTAAACCTTGACTATAAAGTTTTAAGAGGGATGTTCACCTGCTTTTTGTATGTTCAGGAGCATACAGAGTGTGCAGTTAATTCTCGAGACATGTAGATTCCTGAAAGGCAGCCTGTATGCCAAATAGACGTTGTCAGAAAATTTCAGAAAAATATTTCGTGGTTATTTCTGTGCTCCAGCTACACTTCGGGGAGACTATTTCTGATGTCATTCCTAAGGTGGATCCACCGTCATATTTTATTGCTAGTACACCCGGGTGTTGAGAGTGACAGCTTTTCTGAAATACCCCTTTTCTACGAAACTGAAACAGTTGAGTAGACAAAATCAGCTTCTGTAAATGAAGTTTCTGAGAGGCAGACTGACTCACGATGTATTTGCTGGAAGTACAGGCTGAGGACACAGCTACTGAAAATGAAGAAAGGACTTCTGGATAAAGTTGAACTGGAGTCTGTTGCATCCCAGAACGGTTCCTAATGGGATGTAAAGAAAAATACCCCATCCTTGAATGCATTTCCACAAAAAGGGAGAAGGCAGGAAGGTTCTCTTTCCATTTTGGAACAACAGAAAGCAAATTTACAAAGTGAACTAGGTAGTTCTTTAGCTAGTTGTGTGGAGACCTGAAGACAGATGTTAGGATTTCTTAATGCAGGGTTTGTTTATGTTTTAGTGTGAAAGACATGAGTGTATGCACTGAAGCAATACAAAATAAACTTTCTAAAAGTAGGTGGTTTCAGGTGGCAGCCTCTGCATTATACATGTTGAATTGTTGTATTTGGCATTTAATAAAGTGCCATAGTTAAAGTAACTGTTTTGACTGAGATTCTGGAAATGCTTGTATGAAGGCTATGTCTTTAAATACACTGTCTCGGTATCCTGTAATAAATTCTTTCAATATATTATATAAGGTGTTTGTTTAACATCATTTGGCTCACAGCAGATTTCTCTATTGTCATCGTAATTAATCCCCATTTGTTCATAAATAGGTGTTCACCTACTGTGTGTATGCATAAAATGCCCATTGACTAACAAATGGGAATACAGTAGTCACTAAGAGAAACAAAATTACCATTTCATAAAATCAAGTTAAGCCTTTTGTTTGCTTCAGAATTCTCAAAATTTCTGTTCACAATGCCAGTAGGGGATTAATGAAAGCAATAGGTTAGGTCTTTTTACACTCCATGCATATTAAATCGGTTGAAGCACTGACAAACAAAAAATTACCAGCACGTAGTAGCCCTAAGGTAGCCTAACCAACAAAGAGCTGTTCTTCTTAGGAGAAGATTTTAAACGCTGATTTCATTGTAATTCCACTTTTCTGTACTGTCTAACGGAAATATAAAGGAGACCGCTGCCAGAGGGGTTTATTTGGTTAGTCCATCTTACTGTGCGAGCAGGAGATGTCTATCTCCAGCTCTGCTACCCACTGTCTGAAGTTGGCTGTGCTTGCATGTAGCCCCCTTACGTCGGGTGGGAGGGGGGTGGTGGTGTGGTATGTGATGAACAGCTTTTTCAGTTTGTTTTTAAAGACAAATGGAAACAAATAGTTCATGAATGCATGTTTTTGCTTTATTAAATAATGTTTTATGTCCTTTGAAGAGGGAGGGTAGGCTGGTGTTGAACAGAAATGCATGTCATTTGGCTTAACTTTGTAAGGTGCTTTGCCTTTTTGCCAGAATGATTCGGAATGGTATTGGTATACCTACTTTATTTGTTGAAGGCAGGTAATACAAACTTTATCCGTCACGTGAGTAGTGGTTGATGCTGGTAAAGTAAAAGCAAAGGGTGTACCTTGTACCTGGTCACTGAAAACAGTGGTGAACAAGGAGTGTGTAAGGAACGTCATACATCTTTCTGCATTGTTTTGGCAAACCCTTAGGTATCTAGGGAGAAAAAAGATGGTATTTAAGAGTCTGTCTTCTCTGAGCAATTAGTTCAAGTTCAGCAAAGATTGTAGTGATTCACAGTTGTGACCAAATGCAGTGATGAATGAAATGCTTATTTGGGCTGTGTAAAATATATTCTGCTGCCACAACAAACATTGCTTTTGGACTTGAAAAAACTGTCTGAAGAAACTGGGATTCTGAATGTGTAAAACTTTGATTTGTGCAGTTGATTTAAATAAAATTTCCATGCTTGGTCTGTGAGTAAGCACTGATGTTTTCAGAAGGATAAATAAAATGTTGTGGTTTCTTCTAGAAGTCACAGCACTTGAAATTTTGAGGGAAAACCATTGTGTATAAAGGTGGTCTTTGCACTTGAGTAGTTCTAGTAAGTTACGATAAATGCATACCATAAAAATGGAACCTTGCAGAAGAAAGTTCACTCATTCTGATGTAGTAGAGTACACCCTTCAGAATAAAGTTTTACTTTTCCTGAGGTCTCACAAGGAAATTTTTGTGAGGATTCACGAGGTGCTCTTCAGCACAGCATCTGTGCGGCACTTTCTTACCGATTTGTTTGCCAGCTGAACAAAAGTTATACTGTTTTTCTCTAAAAGAACGTACCAAAGAAATGTTTTCATGATGCTTTTTTGGAAAAAGTTACAAATATATTTCTTTTTGTTTTCAGAAAGCTATTGCCTATCTCTTTCCTTCTGGTTTATTTGACAAACAAGCCAGACCCATGATGAAGGTAGGATTTTTTTGGTTGCATTTCTGAATAACTGTAGCATGATATTTTAAGTAACTTTTTCCTTTTGCTGATATATGTTTGTTTATTTATTTACAGCATCCTACTGAAATTTTTCCAGAGCAGAGGAGTAAGTGTTCAGAGATACATATTTTTTATTTCTAAGTATTAGAATTTTTGCATATGTAGAATTCCTTATTCTCACAGATTTGCTTTTTTCCTTGTGATCCTAGTAACTGCTAAGACGTGAGCAGTAAAGGTCTGATCTGATATTCCAGTTTTTAGGTTGAAAAATGCTGCTGGATTCTGGCATACCAGTGGTCCTGTCAGACATCTTCTTAAGTGACTGTAGAGAAATGTTTTTCATTGCTTAAAGATAAACAATAGGTAGGATGACGTGCAGAATGCGTTGAAGTCACGGGAAAACCTTTTGTTGCGTTCAGTAGTTTTTTGTCAGAGCTGTCTATCACAGCCATAAAATATTCATTAATACTATTTTAAACCAAAAGTTTTCCTGGTAACTTCGTTGTTCCAAAAGCTTAGAAATTACAGCTGTGAAATTGCCAGCTGAGAGAATAAGGAGAGTGGAAACTCTCCCAGTCATGTCTCAGTTGTGACCTGAAAGTCCGAGCTGTGTACTTATGTCCATTGTGTCTTTGGTCTTGCCCCTGAGACACCATGTGAAGTTCCAGTTGCCAGTGATAACCCAGTATGTGGTTCAGTTGGTCAGTGAGAACTTCACTGATACTGCTAAATTAATTTTCCATAGTATATTTAAAAGATAAGTCAAAACCTGTTGTCCACTTTTGACTCATGTTTAGTATGAACTAGTAGCATGGGTGGTGGGAAATTGTACATTCGCTGAGCTGTCAAGTCCCAGGTGGACACTTCCAATTATCAGTTAAATCTTACAATTTTCCTCCCTTCCATTTCCTGCTCCTGGAATTAATTGGTACTTGATGTTTTTGGGACTTTGTGTGTCTTCTAGAAAGCTGGCTAAACTATCTGAAATTTTGGAATTTCAGTTTTCAAGTGGTATCACACATTAATTTTCAAACTTCAGTGTTGTGATGTGAAAAGTAGAAAACAAAAGAGTAAGAGAGAGTTAATGAGTATGCAGTTTTAAAATCCAAGGCCTGTTTTATGGCAGAACTAAGCTACTGTTCTATGTGTTTTCAGGACTAAAGGATTCTTTAAAATGCTAGCTGTGCCCTGAGTTGTATAAGAACTAATTAGAGTATCTTTGTATTTACATCTAAAAATAACTCTTTCAGTAAGTATCTCTTCTAAGACAGCCTCGTCATTTCTGTGCATTACATCTTGAGAACTTCAAAGCACAAACCCATAAATGTGTATACTTGGGAATGTTCCCCGAACAGTAATGCCAACAAGATACACTTTCACAGCTGTGTACATGGAATTTCACAGGTTCCACTGGTAGTATGTGTGGGTAAAAAGCCCCTGTATTCATTCAGTTCTAGTAGGTTTTGCATCTTTCCATTCAACTTCTGCTGTATTGTCGTAACGTTCCTATACAACACATACTGTGTTTATTAGACAGTTCTTGTCTTCGTCTGTAGCTTATAGATAGCTTAATTTGAATTTTACTGGATAAAATGGCTGGCAATTTCTCTGCAGTTCAGTTTGTAAACAGCTCTTGAGTTTTTTTTTTTGTTACTTTATTTGGAAAAGATGTTTGTCATGTTATATTTAAGAGGGGTTTTTTTTTCTGAAGTTGAAATTTATTTGTACTTAAACAACATTGTAAAATTAATAAGATAAGCTGGATGTGCTGAAAGATATGGAACGTGTTTTACTGCTGAACTAATGTAAACTATAGCATAGTTCTTTTGTATTCACATATCCCAAACGTGTCAACATGAAGTTCTAAAATCACCCAGTTTCTGAGTACAGTTGTTACCTGCACAAGACAATTGTATGAATACTTAGTTTAGTTTAGCTGTATTATACTAATAAAAAAATTGCTCTGGGTTTAAAGCACTGTTTTCCAGAGCTGTTAATCTTTCATTTTTCACAATTGTTATGTAGATTCCAGGTGTCTCTTAATTTGTACTTCTTTCTGTTCTAAAATGGACACTTCTGTCTAATACCGACTCTACAGTCTTTGAAACTTTAAGATGTTAAGTGATATTTAGAAATGTTATACTAAATGTTTGGTTATTATGGCAGATGGAGATTGGTTTTTAACAAGGTAGTCAAATCATTAGATTTCCAGACAGGTTAAATACCTGTAAAATGTCTTTGTTCTCTGATATTTAAGAAGGTAATCAATATTATGGAAGAGGTTTGTAACTGCAGTTAAATACAAGGGGTTTTTAGTGAGTGTATCTTGTTTTCTCATCTAATCTTGCTTTTCATTAGAAATCCAGTGGGGGGAAGATGGCCGACCACTTCACTTTCTCTTTTATACTGGCAAGCAGTCATATTATTCATTAATGCATGTAAGTACCTTATAATCTGTGGTAAGTAATGTTATCTTCCAGCCAAGTACATGTGATTTCAGAGGTGCGTATGAGGAACTCCTGAGTTTACTCATGTTTTCATAGTAGGTCTTAATATCACCACTGAAGCTACATGCAATTTATATTTTTATGCCACTATATCCGTTATCAGGGGCATTTTTATGTCACATTTAAGAGGACGGACTAGATGGTAGTTCTTGCTTTAATTTTTGGTTTATTTCATGGTTTTGGTTATGGACTGAGTTTGAGTAGTCTGAACGCTTTCTTGTAGGCTGTATCTGGTTAGCAGCATAAGGTTAGTAGTGGGGAATGTGTATACAACGCAAATGGCTCAGTCTAGGAAAATTCATCATAGAATAAAAAAATAGTTCGCTTTTTTTTTTCCCCATGAAGGGCAAAGCTGTAGGAAATGTTATTTGTGCTGACATTTAGTGTGAAGAAAATTTGCATTTAAACTGCTTAATTGATTTTTCTAAGACTGTTCCCTTCATGCAGACTTAAGGCTTTTTCTGATTAGTATGGTTCCAGGAGTAAAGGATCTGCATCTGTTTACCTTTATGAAAAAAGCTGTATCTAACAGAACACCACTAGACCCTGAGTATTAACACGGATTATGAACAGACATTTCATATTTATGACCATCAACGGCACAGACATTATCTACGTTTTTAGAGGAGGTTTATAGAAAGATGAGCACGTGTGTACTTAGGGAAGACAAAAGCATTAATAGTGTATGCGGAAGTGTTTAATTGGACAATCATGTCAGGTTTTGTTTCCTCATTAGAGAGACTGAAAAAGTTTGTTCTGTGGTTAGTCTGTTGTCAAAAGAAGTAAGTCTTGTGTTACCGAATCCGGCGCAGAGCCTACCGACTGTAGTGTTTTTATGAGGATTATCTGATATTTGTATTCTGCGTACCCAGAGTACAAAATCCCCACTTGTCAGATACATTTATTTCTTTGGGAGAATAAAAAAAACATCCTTCCCCAACCCCCCGCCCCTCCTTTTTTTTTTTGTTTTTTTGTTGTTGACCTTGGGCAAATGAGCTTCTTGCCCTGGCAGAAATGAAATGAATGATAAATGTAGAGTGTGTCTTTGCTGAGTAATGGACCTGCAGCATAGGCTTTCCACAGAGGTTTTCTCCTGCGCAGCCTGAGGCAGCCCGAGGACCCCTGCTGTTCATTTAAATAGGTATGTCAAATCTGCCTCGAAACGCCGCTGGTTTGATCTGTGGTAATATTTGTGAAGGTTCCATATGGACTTGAGCCCCCTGCAGTGCTAAGAAATAATGTACAACGCTTCATGGTGCAGACGCAAATTTTCTCTGAAAAGGGATGCAATGCTGCGTTTTAGCTGTCGGAGAGGATGATGGAGCTGACGCGCTAGGCCTGTCAACTTGTTACACGGATGGGTTGCACGCAGCGAGGCTGTGGAAAATCTGTGCCTTTTAACTTTTCTACTTAATCACGGTTGTAGCATTGCCTTTAGACTGTATGCTACATTAATTCTCTTCCTGCCTTCTGCCTTTCATCCCAAGTTTCACGGAAAAAAGTAAAGCATGCAGGTCTTGTAGAGGAGCCTTATCAAACAGCTGTCATCTGACAAGCCATTTGCATTTGTTTTGGCTGAAACAGAGTAACCCAAGGGCAAGATGTTTTGTTGCATTCCATCATAATGAAGAAATTACAAATTTTACAAGGAGCACAAGTTTATTTTTAGCTCTTCTTAGCAGTTAGGAGGAGCGTGCAATCTTGCCTTGGAAATCTCTAAAAGAATGGTGTGCATCGTGTTTCGCACAGTGTGGCAACCACCTCCAAACAAATCGGTTTGACAAATGCATTTTTCAGTAGTATAGCATACTTGAGTGTTCTCTGACTGTTTCTAAGTATTTTCATGAAATAGGCTTCTATAAACCTAAAACTATTAAGTGAGGTTTAACAGGGCTTGTTTTAGTCAGCCAAATGAAAGCTGAAATCTGCATGAAATTCCCAGCGATGTTTTACCCTCTTAGTAGACTAATGTGTATTTAAGAAATGTATTTTTAAGTCTCAAAGCTAATTAATTTGGCTGGGGGGGGGACGTGTGTGGGGGGGTGGTGGGGGGGGGGGGGTGTAAGGGTTGTATGCTAAATAGAGTCTAATGTAAGTCATCAATCCCATTTGAGGATGTCCTTTAAATTGCTACATTAAGTCTAATAAATCAGATACGCATAATATTTGGCTTAAACTTGTACATCACTAATTATTACATAGACTCATGTGGAACTTGAATTTTATTAATTGCTAGTAATATAACTGGTCGCAGCGTTATTTGTTTAGTTAATGCTAATAAATAATATTATCCACTTAATAAAAACAGACTGTATATTTGCATGTATTGTAACTGCTAATATACATGTTATGAATCGAATATTAAATGGAAGGAAAGCTGTAAGGAAAAAGACAATTTACGCTGCTTCTGATACGCAAGAGAATGTTTATTGCATGAAACACCATTTCACAAATGTTTGATAGTATATTTGATCATCATTTATCATAAAAGTATTTGAGTCATGTCATATATTTTGTACTGTGCGGTGCCAGACGAAATGGTCTCTTGCACTTCTTTAGAAATGTCAGAGGTTAATGCTCTAACAAGAGAGGTTTATAACTATTAAAAACAAAACCTAAAAACCCCTGAAGTATATGTTGAACTCAGAAGCACATAAGAAGCAAAGAAAAATGCGAAGTGTGATGTGAAATGATGTAGGCTCTGCAGCATATTTTAATGACAATATTAAAATTAAGATTCCCCCCCCCAAAAAAATCCCTTCTTTTAGGGTTCCATTTGCTAATTTATTCCCTAAAAATTCTATGCAGGGTAAAATGAGTTTTTTGGGTTTTATTTTAAAAAGGAGCATCCTTATAGAGATCTGAAATTTGATCACTGTATTAGGAATGGAAGTGTTTCGGTTTGTAAAATCAGCTATTTTGATTGTGTTACAGCTGAGTTTACAAGACACACAGATGTGTACATTCATGAATTGGACTATTGAATCCCAAAGCGATTAGTAAAATCTTCACCTGCCAGCTTTGAAAAAGCAAGTGTGTTTTCAGAAGCTTTCTTTAGCCTTTGGAGAGTGAAGATTTGTCAGACAAATTATTGGGCATTACATGTGATTCCTAATTTTGCAGAGGCTCATCCTCGTACTTCACTTTACATGTGAGTGGGTTTTTTAGGCTGTTGACTTCATCTCTATATAGAGATTAAATACATGCCTTTTTTTGAATACTGAAGACCAAAATTTTCTTTCATAAGAGATGCAAGTCCACTTCTGTTGCCAGAAATATGAAGGAAATGATATTTAGTGTTTCTCTAACGCTTTAGAAGTATTTTGAAATACTACTTTTTAATGTCGTTTGACTTCTCCTCTTGTGTCAAAGCTTCTTTGTATGAACAGATGCGATTACTGTAATGTAACCAGAGCAGTTTGAAGAGATCATGGTAAATCCCAGAAGTGCACGTTCTTAGTCCTTATGCTGTGGAGTGTTGGTCCTCTTTGGAATACTGCGGGAGGGTCTTGAGGCAAATTTTACTGTTCCGGCTGCTGTAAAGCTTCTTTGTAGTTGTAACAACGAATTTCTTGAGTCTGAAAACTGGCAGGTGGCAACCCACACTTCATTTCGATTGCCCGTGTACGTCAGTAGTTTCTGAGTATGATGACAGAATCCTTAAGTGCACCTTTGACTTGTGTCCTGTTACCTGAAAATGCTGCAGTTGCCGTTTAGAAGCGACTGTGGTCAGTCTGTCCTAAGGTAACAGCTGTGGCTCCCTCCCCCTGCCCTTCCTTTAAGGAACTGTGATATGGTTGTGGTTTTGTGGAGCTCCTGCTTCATGTGTTTTTTTTGCTGACCATCCCCGTAGATAAATGTACATGCCAGAGGGTAGTGAAGATGCCGGGTATTTATGAGGAGGCAGACTGGGCTGCTTTTGCTGGGTAGGTGACGCTGTGCCTTAGGAAGGCAAGAGGTAAGGTGAGACGCTAGCAATAAAATGATAAAGTTCCGTATACATTTATAAGACGTGGTAACCCAGTACTACTTCTGATCATTGAACACCAAAATACCTCCTTCATGCCTGGTTTGACTTCTTCCAAATGTAGAAATTCCTGGGGCTCACAAGAATCTCTAAGCCTGTTCCAACCGAGCTCCCCCCCAGATAGCTAAGGGCAGCCACAGCCTGCCTTCCCCTTCTCGTCCCTCCATCCACAGGCCACGCAGGAGCTTCCATACTGGTTCTTTTTCATGTCTAACTACAGATGCGTAAAAACTGCTCGGTTTTGGGCACATCTCATGCCCTCTAGCCCAAACCATGTCTGCTTTTCCTGTGTAGGCAATCATTTTGCAGCCTAATGGTTAGCCCTGAATGGAGCCGTTAGGATTATGAGAGTGATGCGATACAAATCTTGCCCAAAGTGGTGCTACCATATCTTGTTATCTTAGACATCTACAGATATATCTCTGAGGTTTGGCAATATTTGAAAATATGATTTGTTGTGCTTTTTTTATGTTTCCTGTGCTTGAAGATAAATAGATTTTTTTTTTGAAGTTGAAAGTTTTTTCTAGTTCCTATCTGATGCAGTTAGCTCTCTGAAAAGTAAAGGATTCCTGAAGGATGCACTGCTATAATATAAGAGTTCTTCTGCTGTCTTGAAGAGAAGTGGACCATTTTGTACATCAGGGTTTTACACTGTGGAGTTATTCCAAAAATACTTCTGTTTCCACTATGCTGTTAAAAATGCCACCAATGACCTGCATCAGAGACTTCAGTGAATTGCCCCTATTTGAATGCTTTGAGTGCAGCTCAGGTAACTACCTGTTTTTAGTTCGTACACTTTAAATACAAATATTTTTTAGTGTATGTGTGTGGGTGTATTTTTATATTACTAGATAAATTGGCTTGAACAGTAGGTGTTTATAACTAAGCAAAGGTTTTTTTGTTGTGTGGGTGTTTTAATGCCAACTGTTGCAGAAATTTCACTGCATCCTCTTGCAAATCCCAGTGTTATGTTAAGAACTGGTATGTCATTGGTTAATTTCTGACAACACGGAGCTCTCACATTTCTTCTTCTACTGTTTTTTATAAGCAACACAAAGAAAAAAACCCGAACCATTGTTCCTTGCCCCCACTAATTCTTATGCTATAGTTTCTCTCTCGTATTTGCTAAAACTCATTATAGTAATAAGGAATATCAAAGTGGTTACAGGCTTTCCATTTTCACTTGTTAATGGAAATAAATTATTTGGCATATATGTACTTTGTTTTAGTACAACAATCCTGTTTTGGTTTCAGTATAATTTATAAATATTTCTCCAAATACTCATATTTAATTGTGATCTGAGTTACTGTTGTAATTTAGAGCATTAGATGTTATATTTTAGAACCAAATAGTCTCCAGAAGTTTCTGAACTGAAGTAAAACCTGAAAATACTTTATTAAGAACTTGTTGCTTCTGTAATATTTTCAGTGTGAATTTTTGAATATTTTTCCTTTGTTTTTCTGAAGTGGTAAATCACTGTCACAGCATTGTTTGAAAATAATAGCATAGTTAAGGATTTAAAGAAAACTGCTTAAAAAATACTGAAAATTCAGAGTAAATGTATCTGTAACATTTGAAGGAACAGAAATTCTTATTATAGTAAAGCTACAACTTTGTATGTCCCTTTGGACGTGCCTGTGTAAGAGAGAATTCTGACTGATATAGACCACCAATAAAGCTGAAACTAAATGCACAAAAACCTAAGTAAATGAATTATTTAAAATATTAAACCTTGCCAGTATTTTGAGGAAGTCAAACTAAAATGTGGATGCACTGATGAAATTACTGTGTTTTGGTGTTACATCCATTATACAAATGTAGTTGCCTTTCTTTATACAGTTGAGAATATTTTTTTTTTACCAGCACATGTAAGAAGACAACGAACACTACTGAAGAAAAACAGAATTCAAAATTAATTACTTTGAACTGCATATGAAAATATAATATATACTGTCTCAGTGTTGTTGGTTTAGTTTTAACTTGCTGTGATTTTTTTTGAATTGTTTTAACTGAGCTTTGCATATTTTCTGATCTCTGCCTTTTAAGTGTTCAGAGAGCAAAACCACATAAACGTGTTTTCAATAACAAAATTTAAATATTAAATGGAAAAATGCATTTAAATCCTTTGTCCATATATGTTTTAGGAAACATACGAAAAATTGCTAAATGTTCAGAAATATCAAGACCAGTTGACAGCTCAAGACCTTCCTCTTAAGAAGGAAAAAAAGTAAGTTTCCAGTTAGAATGAATATTAATACTGACTTTCTTAAAATGCTTCAGCTTTTTGACACTTCTAGTTTCCCACCCTAACCTGCCTTTTATTCCACAAACACATTTTCAGACTTTTTTGCTATTCATTGTCTAATATTTGTATGGTAATTTCAGGTTGAAAAGTCTTATCTGTAGAATGTACATGTGGACTGCTCACTTCTTGCTGCTAAAATAGGGAAATCCACCCATTTTTCTTGCTCTTTAATCTGTCCCTGCTTTTTTCAGTATTCTCTCCTCTCTGAAAATTCTAAAGTTTAACTTGAAAATAAGCAGAGAATATCCAGGATTCTATGTTCCTATTTATAAATCTATGTAATTATTTCTTTATAGAGGGTTTTTGAAAAAGGAGGTAGAGTGTTTGTAAGAAACCAAGTCCTTTTTAAAATACCAGATAAGTTGCTTATCTGTTGGAAAAATACTAAGGCGTAAAACTGAGTTCTTTAAGATTCTTTAATTACAGTTCTGGAATATTTTTACTTGACTTTATTTAACTTGAAGAGTGTCAAAATACTTGATTTCACTATTTTTTCTTTTAATGGCTCTGAACAGCTAATTTGCCAAAAACGACATGAATTTTGGAAAAGTTTATTTAGGTGGTTTTGTTTAATATCACCATTATTAGTAATTGAATTGAGTTTCTCTTCTTTTTCCTCTTTAACTTACCTGCTCTGCCCAGCAAGCTCTTCAGCTAGTTAGCCACTGGAGAGAAAAGGTCCATGTCAACCAGCAGCAGCCATGGGAGATGCTGCAGTTGTTAGTTTCTTACTGCATACTGTCAGGATTGCCTTTGAAGTGGGTATATGCTTTAAGAACTCTTTGCTTCTCTCAGGCTGTATTCTTCATTTTCTGTTTTGAGATTTTTGCAGGGATCCTGAGATATACTAGAATATTAAATTAAACAAATCTTTAAAAGAAATGGATACAACTAGGAGGTTTTGATTTTGGCATTTACTGCTTTTCTGTATAGTTTCTTTTTCACTGGCCAGGTCGTTTTTATCTTTGTTCTTTCTGTGTATTTTCTAGCCAGATTTATGTGCTGTTCCAGTTGCACATCATGTTGGTTTGTTACTTCTTAATTTCACCCATTTGTTGTTTATGTTAGGAAGAGAGAGGATTCATTTGCTGAGATTATTTCGATTTCTTAAATAACGGATGTTCATGTTTCTTTATGATACAAATAGTTCCCTATGACCTGCAGAATGTTTTAACCTAGATTCGTGTTAGCTTCTGAGCGGACAGGAGGACAAATTAATTTAGTTTCTTGCTCTATGCTGCTGAAAAATAACCTGACTCCTTACAGCCAGTGGATTTACTGATGTGAAAAATGACCTAAAGCTAGTCAGAGTTGAAAGGGTTTTTTTTTTTTTTTTCCCTGTTAGGTTTGTGAAAGCTCAGAGAATGTAAAAGGACTTTTGAGACTTACTTTTCCACACTGAATGTGGTACTTCTGAGATTAGCCTGGATAATATATCTCTGAAGTGTAGGTAGAGGGTGGATGAATGGGAAGGACTGTTTGGTTTGTTTTCCCAAAAACAATCTATTATGGATGCATTCTGTAAAGTTAACTGTAGGGTTAGGACCTGATTTTGATCCCCTTTAAGTTTATAGCTTTTCATATGTAAAATATCTCGACTTCATTGGAAGTGGCAGTGTGTAAATGTGAGTATATACTTGAGTCTGTCAGGATTGGAAACTTTTAACAGTAATTTTAAAGCCAGCATTGTTTCTAAATAAACGTTTCTCATGCCCTGACTCAGAAAAGCATTAAAATACATACTTCTTCTGAAGTACTACTTAAAATCACCTTCAGAAGGAGTGCTGCTCTGAATCACAGCTTCCTTAGTGCTGCTGAAAACATTCATTAAGATTGTTTCTAAAAAACTTAAGGAGGTGAGAAACAAGTTACAGCTTCGCCTTAAATTTACCTGATAATATTGGCATGTATATTTATGGTGGCTTTCTGTTTTGTTGGTCACTATGTTGTAGGTATTTCACAAAGATTTACTTCAAACATTTTTTTTCTTTGCATTAGCATCTCTGTATGAGGCTGTGTTCTTAGAAATTTCTGCTTTTGCTGCTGTCATTGGTGCAGTTTATGTGCTGAGCGAGTCAAGATTATATAGTAGATAAAGTACAGCATGTCATTGCTGCATTAATAGAATCACAGAACGGTTTG